AATTACACTGGTTTTTTTTCTCATTTAGAAATCTAGCACAAAAGCTGTTTTCCCAAGAGAGAACTTCAGTATCCTGCATTTCTTTGAGGATCATTCAATGGACTGCTAGAACTACCATATCTGGGCTGCAAACATCTAAATATGGCCCTCCTAGTGCTTTCTAAATTATTATCACCCACATATATGATAGCCTAGCACCACTGAAGATAAGATGTGAATTAAGGAAAGGTGTGATCCGTCAATGAACATTGGGAAGCAAGGCAATCTCTGCCATTTCCATAGATGAAGAACTAACAAGCAAAGTATGAATAAGGAAGACAAAGTTGTGAATTCTGCTGCTTCCTTTTCTTCAAGGTCATCCCCAATCTAATGTTAGGTATATGTGTTTGATTGTTATTATTCCCTGTTAAGTTTCATGTTGATGGTGCTGTTGATGGTTGCTGTCAAATGTATTTGCAAGTTGTCAGATGAAGAACAAGGGCATATTTTTCAATACCTCAGTCCTACAATGCCTAGCAGCCAGGGGTAGGCAACCTTGGAGTTGAAGTCCACGAGTCATAAAAGAGCCAAGGTTGCCTACCCCTGGGCTAGCCAATGGTCTGGATACCTGTGAATGGGGAAGCAGAAACCAGACCAGAAATACAAGTATGTATGTCTTTTTAAACATATTCCCTTTGTCTTCAGGGGTTTTCAGATATATGATTCCTCAAACTGGTAATCAAAACATGCTTTCCAATGATTCGATATGATTCCCCCCCTTTTTATTAAGAAAAAACTCAAAGTGGTATATGAACACCAAATAACCAATGGGCATAAAGTCTCTTCTACCCTACTTCTTCCATCCCCACCCCCTTCTATTTCACAAATGAATGGGCTTATTGCAGAATTAGCCAAAAATCACTAGGGAACGCTAAAACAATAAAAGAAAAAAGAAAGGGAATCTGAAATATAAGAGCTCTATCAAGGTGCAAAATGGAGAGAAAGGGAAAATATGAACAAGTCCATTTCAGTTCAAAAGTAGATCTAATTTAAATCTACAGACCTTCTCTGGATCAAGTTATCACATCTCACCATAAAAAGACAAGCCTCTTTACATAATGGTAGTATTATGACTGAAACACTTTGACCTCTAAGGCTACCCATCTTATTAATAGCTGAATTTGATCAGCTGTGGTGGCGCAGTGGTTAGAATGCAGTATTGCAGGCTGACATTGCTCACATCGCCAAGAGTTCGATTGCTTTGATCCTGATTGGCTCAAGATTGACTCAGCCTTCCATCCTTCCAAGGTCGATAAAATGAGGACCCAGATTGTTGGGGACAATAGGCTGACTCTGTAAACCATGTAGACAGGGCTGTAAAGCACTGGGAAGCAGTATACAAGTCTAAGTGCTATTGCTATGCTATTGAATAACAAGTTAATTGCTTAGTGTTTATGTGTAAATCCAGCCACTTTGGTTGATAAAACTTTGGCTTATGGTTTAATTTGTTATCTATACCAGCCAACAGCAATTTATTCAATAAACCAAAGCTAAGCAAATGGCTTGACACAACAACTATACTAAATGTGTGTTGCTGATGCTGGATATAGGCAATTCCAGGTTGTCCAATTTAAGGATATCTCTGAGATACAAACAGGATGCCCATTAGTAGAAATGGTGTCCTTGTGTCAACGAAGTGCTGAAACTGCACAATTCAGTCAGAAACTGCTAAAGCTGTACATTAATATATAGCCTATTTTCAGTGCAGGAATATATAGTCACTCTGGAAAGTATCTCATGGATTCAATGTTTTATCAGCTCAAGGAAAGACAATACCACCCACCATAACCGGTAGTCCATTTTCAAAGTACGATTTCCAACATAAATACAAATTTGAGTTAAAGATAGAGTTAGAGAGTATAACTAACCAGAAGAATACCTGTACTAAGAACCTAAGTAGCACTGCTGTTTTGGTTATTTGGGGCCAACGAATACTCAGTTCCCATCATTATAAAAAATAGTGACGTTGCAACAGTGAGTATAGAAAGTAAAATAACACCCTCACTTCAGGTTTTATATATAGTATTTGAACTAAAGTACATAAGATGAAGCAGATGTTTAATCTCTGGATGGAGAATTAGAGGACAGCAGAACATGGGAATGTGCATACAATGGGGCAAAAAAGTATTTAGTCAGCCACCAATTGTGCAAGTTCTCCCACAAAAGATAAGAGAGGCCTGTAATTGCCATCATAGGTAGACCTCAACTATGAGAGACAAAATGAGAAAACAAATCCAGACAATCACATTGTCTGATTTGGAAAGAATTTGCAAATTATGGTGGAAAATAAGTATTTGGTCACCTACAAACAAGCAAGATTTCTGGCACTCACAGACCTGTAACTTCTTCTTTAAGAGGTTCCTCTGTCCTCCACTCATTACCTGTATTAATGGCACCTGTTTGAACTTGTTATCAGTATAAAAGACACCTGTCCACAACCTCAAACAGTCACACTCCAAACTCCACTATGGTGAAGACCAAAGAGCTGTAGAAGGACACCAGAAACAAAATTGTAGACCTGCACCAGGCTGGGAAGACTGAATCTACAATAGGCAAGCAGCTTGGTGTGAAGAAATCAACTGTGGGAGCAATAATTAGAAAATGGAAGACATACAAGACCACTGATAATCTCCCTCGATCTGGGGCTCCACGCAAGAACTCACCCCGTGGGTCAACATGATCACAAGAACGGTGAGCAAAAATCCCAGAACCACACGGGGGGACCTAGTGAATGACCTGCAGAGAGCTGGGACCAACGTAACAAAGGCAACCATCAGTAACACACTACGCCACCAGGGACTCAGATCCTACAGTGCCAGACGTGTCCCCCTGCTTAAGCCAGTACATGTCCGGGCCCGTCTGAAGTTTACTAGAGAGCATTTGGATGATCCAGAAGAGGATTGGGAGAATGTCATATGGTCAGATGAAACCAAAGTAGAACTGTTTGGTAGAAATACAACTCGTCGTGTTTGGAGGAGAGAGAATGCTGAGTTGCATCCAAAGAACACCATACCTACTGTGAAGCATGAGGGTGGCAACATCATGCTTTGGGGCTGTTTCTCTGCAAAGGGACCAGGACGACTGATCTGTGTACATGAAAGAATGAATGGGGCCATGTATCGTGAGATTTTGAGTGCAAACCTCCTTCCATCAGCAAGGGCATTGAAGATGAAACGTGGCTGGGTCTTTCAGCATGACAATGATCTCAAACACACTGCCCGGGCAACGAAGGAGTGGCTTCGTAAGAAGCATTTCAAGGTCCTGGAGTGGCCTAGCCAGTCTCCAGATCTCAACCCCATAGAAAACCTTTGGAGGGAGTTGAAAGTCCATGTTGCCCAGCAACAGCCCCAAAACATCACTGCTCTAGAGGAGATCTGCATGGAGGAATGGGCCAACATACCAGCAACAGTGTGTACCAACCTTGTGAAGACTTACAGAAAACGTCTTACCTCTGTCATTGTCAACAAAGGATATATAACAAAGCATTGAGATGAACATTTGATATTGACCAAATACTTATTTTCCACCATAATTTGCAAATAAAATCTTTCCAAATCAGACAATGTGATTGTCTGGATTTGTTTTCTCATTTTGTCTCTCATAGTTGAGGTCTACCTATGATGACAATTACAGGCATCTCTCATCTTTTTAAGTGGGAGAACTTGCACAATTGGTGGCTGACTAAATACTTTTTTGCCCCACTATATATACTATTATTATGAATAAAACTAAGAAAGTGCATAGACATTCTGGGGGTGCTATAGGAAAAATATAAGGCTAGCAGATTTCTAGCTAGCAAACCTAAGTAGGTGAAAAGATTGATGGGATCATCAGAATATGATGCAAGCAAATTGATAACAGAGTTAGTTTGGTTTTAATCTCTCCTGTTAAATTCACAGACAATTTTCAAAGTTTCTGTTGATACTATTGGTCATCACTAACTAAAGAGTGGTGGCTTAAAAGTTCCTTCTAATATAAAAAATAGTGTGGTATTATACAACTTTAAAGCATGTTAACAACATAAAATTGCTCATGATTTCATTTAGTACATTATTATAGAGAGCCAATTTGGTGAAGTGGCGAAGGCATCAGGTTAAAAACCAGGAGAATATGAGTTCTAGTCTTGCCTTAGGCACAAAAGCCAACTGGGTGACTTTGAGCCAGTCACTCTCTCTTAGCCCCAGGAAGGAATCAATGGCAAACCTTGCCAAGAAAAGTGCAGGGACTAATCAGAGCTGTTGGTAGGAGTCAACACTGATCTGAAGGTGTACATGCATGCACAAGACACAATACTGCACAATACATTACTCTTTTTGTTATTGCTTTAAAATAGTTTGAAGGAATTTTAACAGGTTGAATGGTTAACCAATTGCAAATTCACAACTGAGGAGAGGGGGTTCTTGTCTGATGTTACTGTATTTTCCCTCCTCTGCATTAGTATTGCACTATTTTTGTAGTATTTATACAGGATACAGAATCATAAACTAATTAATTAGCCTAATGCAAACCCCAGTCTGTGTGCTTAAGATGTAGCATGTTGCACAATGCCTCAAAATCAATGAACCAGAATAGGTATATAATGTATATATAACACTATCTTTTTATGAATACTCTGTTGGGACTCCGTGTTATGTTTCTAAATTGTTGTGACCATTATTTTATTCATTTATTGAGTTTTTGTTTGTAGCATATTTTATTGTTATATGTCATATTGCCTTCACTTAAAAAAAGCAGAATATAAGTTTTTAAAAAAATAATTGGAATGAAAATTCAGAATAATTAGTGGAACAGCGCTTAATTTTACTTACTTCCAGCTTCTCTACCATACATTCACACACATCCTTTAAAGAAAAAAGTGAGCAAATTTCAAATTTGCATATTGTATTGAATAAATTCATCAACAAACCTTAAAAGGGCTGTTTATCAACATATAATTCCAGAAAAGGGGGAAAGTCAAATTAAACATTTAACATGTGCAGAAATGTTGACAATTTTTTCAATCAGTCATTTGGGCATTTGGCTCCATACAGTATTTTTTTTTTTGTCTTATTAATGTTACTGCCAAAATTAGGGAGTAAAAGATTAAATTAAGATTTGGACATAAAGTATCTTTCCCACCTCGTATGATTTCTAAATAAATTTGCTACAACTGCATTTATGCTGTACATAGTACCTAAATTCGTATGCACAGTTCATTTAACGTCGTTTCTTCGCCTTTTAAAAACTGTACAGGAACCAAGCACATACGAGCAGTGGTCGATAGAGGCCAAAAAAAAAAAAAAAAGCAAATATTTCGTTCGATCCTAACCATGTATATTCACATGGATTTAAGGGAGGATAATCCCAAACCGGTATGCTTAAAACTGCAGCGTTGCAATCTGAAATCATGGTTTCTTAATCCTCCATATCCGAATTAAGTAGCATTTCTTCCCTCCTATGCAAATATGCTCAAGCTACGACAGTTTTAAGGGCGAGGGAAGGGAAATCCGAGGCTCTCCAGATGGTGGATTCCGACTCCTCTTTGGGGCCATCTGGGGAATCGGAATCCGACAATATAACTGAGAGCCACAGGTTCCAACTTCTACTACACCCGCCGTTTTGGAATTAAAACCTCCCCGAATCGCCCGGGTTTCTTGCAGACGTCGCCTGCACGGCTGAGCACTCTCGGGGAACGCACTGCTCCTAGCTGGGATTACTCGTCTGCAAAACCCTCCCATTCCCCAGAGCCCTGCGCCCAGGTTTGGGAGGGCAGCCTTAATCTAGCCTTCAATCCGAAGTCGAGACGGCTGTATTTCGGAGAGGTTTCCAGGCTCAGCTTCAGCAACGCTTCCTTGTTTCTCTCAAGCGCAGTGCTCGGCCGCCTCGAGGAATAAAAGGTGGGGATCTGGCGCGTTTGCTGCCCGTATTGTCTCGGAAAGACAGACCTCGGCGTTACCCAGGAGCGAAGCAGTTTGGACTCCGCCTAACTGACACTAAACTCCCTCCCTCCCCGTAGCTAGCAGCAGTAGAGCATTTAACAGCAGGCGGAGGCAGCAGCAGCAGCAGCAGCGAAGCAGCAGCATCCGCCCTTTCCCTCCAGCCCTGACGGTGCACAGAGTCTGACGAGCTGCTGCCGCTGCCCGCGCCCTCCCTTCCTCTCCCAGCCTCGGAGGATGGGCTGCAAGAGGCTGTGGGGCATCTCTCGATCTTCCTGAGAACCGGCCGACCGAAGGGAGCGGGAGTAGCAGCAGCAGCAGCAGCAGCAGCAGCCGCCGCCGGAGCTGGGGTCGTATGGACGGAGCAACCATGAACGCCCAGGTCTCCGCCTCCTCTCCTGCCTCTTTCCAAGAGCTCCTTGCTGCTGCCGATGAACAGAGGACTCCAGTGTAAAGGGAGAAGGAGGAGGAGGAGGAGGAAGACGAAGAAGAAGAGGAGGAGGAGGAGAAGGAAGAGGCGGCGGCGAGCCGAGGCGTGATTGGGTCGCCTTGCCCAAAGGTACAAAGGTGTCGAAGGGGGAACCGGGCAAGGCGCTCTCTTGCCAAACATGTCCTCGTCTCCTTCTCCTTCTCCTTTTTCTTCGCTGGGGCCCCGCGGGCCTCGGCCCCCCGCCGTGCCTCCCCCCATGCAGGAGCTGCCCGACCTGAGCCACCTGACAGAAGAGGAGCGGAACATCATTATGGCTGTGATGGACCGCCAGAAAGAAGAGGAGGAGAAAGAGGAGGCCATGCTCAAGTAAGCCGGGGCCAGGCGCGCGCGCTGCCGGCGGGGTGGGGTGGGTGGGGGGGAAATCTAAACCTGGAGGGGGGGAAGAGAGAGAGAGAGGAGAGGCGGCGGCAGCATCACTGTCACTGAACCAGAGGCAGAGTTTTATGAATGGGGTGGGGTGGGGGGAGGAAAGAGGAAGAAATAGACGGAGGGAGGGGTAATTTACCAGGCGTTGACACCCTCCTTGCCAATGCTGCCCGGCCTTCTGTCACTCCTGAGGTAACTTCTTGTTATCTCCATACTCTTCTCTTTGCCCCCCCCCCCAATAATTGCCTGGGGAGATGCACAGTTATTGTGGTGGAAGGAAGGACTAAGGATGGGCGGTCTCTTGTCTCTCTGTCCAGGAGGGCTGGCTTGGAGGTGGCATTATCACTCTGTTCCTTAACTTGGATTTAATAGTTTGCCCTATTTCGGAAGGGTCTGATGGGGTGGGGTTTCCTTAGTTGGAAGAGTCTTTAAACTGCCATGCTGCCCCCGCCTGGTGTAAAGGAAGCCAAGCTGGGCCACTGAGGACTTTGTGGTGTGTGCCTTGTCTCATCAACCACCTGCAGGAATTTTCCATTTGGGGTGCGCCTTCCTCCTTTTAACCCAGTTTAAGAAAAAAATATATTCTGGGCTGTATGAATTAAAATGTACAATACTGTAGTAGATGAGATCAAGGGTATTTTCAGGCAAACACAACCCTTTTTAATATGGAAAAATCTGTATAATAAATACAATTTGCTTCCCTCTCCCCCCCCCTTCATTTCACAGTAATTGCACATAGATGCAATGGTCAGTTAATGAACTGGATGCCCTGGAGTTTTGGGGGGGAGGTTTTGGTTTGGGTTTTTTTTGTTTTGTTTTGCTTTTTGCTACATAGGCTTGGGCGAGTAGAGTCAGATCATTGGTGGATGCCATAATTTAGAGCTTTCTAGTACGGTATTTATTTAAGCCTGTTCATTTTCTCCCCATACTGTCCAACTTCTTTTACATCCAGTCCATTATATAAGCATATTTTTTAACCTTCTGCAAAACGGATGTATTGAAAATTAATATTATCAGTTAATGGATCACTGGATAGAAACAGATTGTGATTGGGCCTATGAATGGGGATCAAGCTTCTTTGACTAAAAGCATCTCCCAGGCCTACTTGGTTTTGAATGGAAGTAGCAGATCAGGTAATTCCTATCTTTAAAGTGCCAAGTTTCTATTGGTACTGACAGCATTCTCGGCATCTCCTTGGGGGACTGATTTTGGTTGCTGTTATCAGAGTGTGTAAATGAACTTGTGAAACCTCTTTTGATTGAATCCAAAATGATGACATTAAGAAAAGGTCTAAGTTCTAATGATTTGTCTGTTCCATTCCCTCCCGCTAGCTGTGTCATCTATAATAGATGGCAATACGGAATCCCTGCAAGCACTCAACTTCTTTATTTTGTATAATGTAAGGGATGGAGCTGGAGACTACCATCTCTTATTGTGTTGTTGTCTCTTTTTGATATGAGCTGGAATTTAGATTTTTGCAGTAGTCATGGCAGGTGGTGTTATTTCATCAAGGCTCAGAAACCAGAAAGGAAGGGGATGTTTTAATGTTTAACTTTGGTACTGTTTAAGGCTTATGGTACTATGAAGATGGAAAGTTGATATTTGCAAGCCTTGAAATATCGTTATCTTTGTTTTAGGAGGAGGAAATGGAAGATTTGAATATATGCAAGATTAAACAAGAAAAGCTTATTTTTATAAATGGTGGGAAGTTAAATGATGGATAAGCATAGTGAGGAAGACAGATGAAATGTCTTCTACTCTTCTAGAACTATTTAAACTTTTATTAGAAGTTTATTGCTGATAGCAAATGGTATGGATTCCATCCGCAGCTTCATGTTAAGTTTCCTGTCCTAAATACTGACTTGATGATCTCTTTATCTTTTTAATATGTGTAGAATTGCAGTCCTAACTATAGGTTTTAAGATGACTTTCTTAAAGTTATTTATTTAAATTCTTATTTTCTAAGGTTAAAAAAAAATAAGCAAACAATATTTTCAACTTTGTGCCAGCCTTGAAATCTAAAATAGGCTAAGATGCTTGCACAAGGAATCTTCACCATGATTGGGAAGGAGTTAAGTAATATATAGGTAGCATGCAGTAAATAGCAGTATCACATGGGCCCAGATAACAAAAGTAAGGATATTGCATAAAGGCAGTCTGAACTCTTGTCTGCCTGTCTCTTGTTCTGCAGGAGTATCCTAATACCGTAAACTAAAAGTGAGAGCTAGGGCTAAGCCATTTTCAAAGCTTGTTAAAAACCTGATCAGGACTATCCCTTGAATGTTCAAACTTGTACATACTAGAAGATAACTTTGAGGACTGTTCCTGAATGGTGGATTAATTTACCATATATTGCTTTAATAGGTGTTCACAGGATTGTAATGAAAAATGAAACTTCTTATACTTACGCATGCACAGCAGCTTATTTCATTCAAAGGCATCTGGTTAATAACAAATTTGCTGCTGCATTAGGTACTGTAGATGGAACTGGGTGTTTAGGGGGGTATTTTGGTATATAATCTGGAAGCTGTAATTAAATCTCAGGTCACAGAAAACTGGAAGTGAAAAAATATTTGTTCAATAGAATTTAAGCCAATTTTATCAATTTTAACTGAATTTAGTTATTTAAACTGAATCTGTTGTATATAATACAACATTGTATATATAAGTATTTTATAATAATATAGCACAGTATCTTGGTAAGATTGCCAGCTTTGTGTTAGTTTTATTTCTAAACCTCTTATCTCCATATTAGGAAAAGTTCACATGTTTGATTTAGCATATCAGCTTGCTTGTTAAAAGCAGAAAAAGGTCAGAATGACAAAAGGATATGCAGGTATATTTCAATGGGGAAACTGTTAGCCTTTTAGACTAAGCCAAATTAAAAAAAAATGTTAGGGAATTCCTGGAAGTTTGATATTATGTCAAGTCCATCATCAGTGGAAACATAGACATAAAACATATTTATACACTATTCAAAAGAGATAATAAAAAAATAAGGAAACAAAAAGATCAGAAAGCATCCTATCTAGAGCTAGCACCCAGATAAGTAAGTATTAATACCAGACAAACGGACCAAGGAGAAAACACATCTCCACCAAAACTGGCAGGGATCATTACTGCATATAAACAGAGAACAAAATTCAAACTCACTTGCACTGATGAAGTTACTTAATTGGGTAATGAAATGTCCGCAAGCAAACAACCAAGCTCAGAAAGCACCAAGAACTCCACATTTCAATCTTGAGTTACATATATTCTCTGTTATTGGAGATATATTTCAATATGATACTGTTTGAAAGTTATTGTATTATAGTAGAGCATGGGAGCAAACGGACTGATGAAATGTGGGGAGATGCCTTTGAACATCTCTACCACATGGAAGAGCTGGTTTAGAGAGAAAATAGCAGTTTGGGGGAAATATTATTACTGCCCTGGGGTATACTTTTCTTCTGCTAAGATGGGTTGTAAAAGACATCTCTGCCATTTTTGTACAGGCAACACTGTGTAAGGTGCAATGGTAAGGCGATAAGAGTCAGATAAAATTCCAAGATAAAAATAAAATGCAGTGATTAAAACCACAATCCTAAACTCAGTAAGACTTTATTTTGAGTGGATAGTCATACTATTTTAACATGAATCATTCTTTGTAAATATTTACATTCACTTGTTGGTACTTCTACTAATAGCCAAAGCCGTGTTGTTTTACTGCTCAGAGATTCAAGAATGCCACTTTCATTTCTGTCTTAGTTTAGTCCAATTGTCCGTAGATTAAAATAGCTAGTTAAACTGGAACAGCTGGTCTTGTTCCCAAGCACTGACTTGAGTTTTTCTAAGCATTCACTGCAGGTCCCTAATAATGCATCCTGCATGGAAGGAGCCACCAAAACCATGGGTTTTAAACATTGGTTAAGCATTGACTTTTCCTGCAGATGGCTCCTAAATCACTTAATCCAGTATCCTTCTTTACAGTAGTAGAGAGTAAGGGAACGGTTGTAAGTTTTGCATTTTACATACAGTATCTAGATAATTCTTAAATTTCAGCTCTGAAAAAAAAGTTCAAGGAGTGTAAAACAGCACAGGTATATACAGAAAATATATGCTTCATTCATTAGTAATTAAGTGCCATCCAGAAATGCTGGTTTATTACTCTTTAGTTCCTGGGCATCCGCAGTTTTGGTGATTTATCTGCAGATGGTACCATACTGGGGCAAGGTTTACTTGAGCTGTAAGGAATGTTAGATTGTCATCAATGAGAATTACGCAGGCATATTCTCCACAGAATTTTAGGTGTAATTAAAGCAGCTTTGGGAGAAAACAGCATTTTTTTCCTTTCTGGTGTAAAAAAATGCAGGGCTGGAGCTTTCAGTAGATGTGCTGCCTTTCCAATTAAACAGACTCTATGTAACAAAGATGCAAAAGGAAAAAAACAATATAAAGCCAGGAATGTGAGCAGTCATTTTTACTTATTAAGAAAAAAAATTAAACAGACTATATTCCTCTTTATTAGGACTAACTCAAAATCACACAGTAGAGAGCCAATGTTCAAATGAGCATATTAATGTATTTTAATAGGATGGGGTCATCCAGGGTCATCCAGCAGCCTTTGTCTGATTTTTTTTTTTGTTTTAAAAAAATGACTGCTTATTGTTTTTCATGTCATGGTTAGAATTGTATAAGTGACAAGAGCAAGCAAAAATGTGTGCATGAATCCTCCAGTGTTATAGTCCTGCATACTAGGTTAATGGATGATACAACATTTTGTTAAGACTCCCTGTTCTAACAGAACCGCCAAAATTGCTACTTCCCCCCCCCCTTATGATGAACTCTTTGAACAATCAATTCATTGTAAATATTAGTGAGAGTTTTTGGACTTGTAATACCCATGTTTAAAGGTTGGCAGTATACATCTATTCAACAGTTCTCTTGCTTTTTGGGAA